TCCCCGCCCCTTCCTCCGCCCGCTGAGCCTCCGCCCGCCGAGCCTCCGCCTCCCCTGGGCCGGTCGCGGCCGCGCGCGAGATCGACAGCGCCACCGCTCGGTTGGCGCCAAAATCTACGGCGCGGGCGCCTCTGGGAGGAGCGCAGCCGGGAGGGTGAGCGGAGGAGGAGCCCGGGTGGCGGGAAGTGAACCCCTGCCTGGGCGGCCTTGGGCGCCTGGGATTCGGAGCGCTCCGAGCTTTATCTTCCGCCGTGACTTTGAGTTCCCGGCTTTTGCAGGATCGTCTTGAGGGATGTGGACAGAACGGGGTGAACACTGGTTAGTTACTCGTAGAAAAAGCACCGATCCCCCCACCCTCTCTCCCTTGCTCACACCCTGGGACCGAGCCACGAAGTTGGCAACCCGAGACAATGTGGCTGCTCGCTCCTTCCTCTGACAGCCACCGAGTTCTCACCTTCCTACCTCGGTCTTGGAAAATTAATCTTTTGAAGGCTGAAAAATAGGAAATTGCCATTGGAAAGAGAGGGGGCGTGGCTCAAGTGGTAGAGTGCCTGCCTAGCAAGTAAAGGACCCAAGTTCGACCCCCAGCACCCACACACACACACAAGAAAAAAGCGAAATTAACATTCCGAAGTTCTCTTGGTATTGTCTTTGGTCTGCTGGCCTCCCAGACATTTAAATTACAGCTGGAAATCTAAGTCTCCCCCTCCCCCCCCTCTTAAATCTACAGGAACAAAAGTTCTGATAGTGGATCTCAAAAGAAAAGCATTTTTACTGGGAGAGAGTGAGGGAACAGAAGACATTTTAAGAAAGGAAATGTACTCATTACCTGACTATGTAATTATAATCCCTCCGTAGGACACCTTTTTAATAACAATAAAGTTAATTTAAAAAAACATTTTTACATATTAACTGCATACTGTAGTTATGCATGTGGGAGATCTATTTTTTTAATGATATAGATGTAACACAGATTGACCTGTTCTTTCATCCAAAGACAAACGAGTGTCAAGAAAAAGTCAGGACTGGAGCAATTTAAGATAAATACGAAAGCAAATGATCCTCAAAAGTACACACATAATTTCAGGACATGAGTCGAAAATAGAGGGCTGGGAATGTGGCTTAGTGGTAGAGTGCTTGCCTAGCATGCATGAAGTCCTTGGTTCGATTCCTCAGTACCACATAAACAAAAAAAACCAGAAGTGGCTCTGTGGTTCAAAAAGAAGCAAAAAGAGCACAAGAAGCTCAGGGACAGCGCCCAGGTCCGGAGTTCAAGCCCCAGGACTGGCAAAAAGAAAGGAAGAAGGAAAGAAAGAGAGAAAGAAAATAGAATACAATAACACGAAATAGCATTCATCTTTTGAAACTAACCACCTTCATAGTTTGAAATGATATACAGTTACTTAAATTACAGTTGATGGATATGCTTTGATTTTTTTTTCCATATTCTTCAAGCTGGTCCTAAAAATAGTAAAGGTACTTCAACTCACAGAGTTGTTTTTCAGATATTACCAAAGGAGTAATCATCTTGGAATCTAACATTCCACAATTGCTTATTTGCTGGATCTCTGAATAGCAGGCAGAATCCATTTAAAATTGTGCTTCCAAACTATTAACTCTGCCCAATCATCTTTAGGTACTTCTGGTCACTTCTCATGTTCTTTATCTGATATTTAAATAATGAAAGATCAATGAGTTTCATTCTCAAGCTCAGTAACTTTCCTATAAATAGAACTTTCTATCTACTCATACATTTTAACTTTATACAATGTATTACTTTATTTTTCTACAGCTTTGTAAACACTCAAAGACTACTAAGTCCTAAGACTTTCAACACATAAACATAATGAATTTGTGAAGTAATCTTTAAAATACCTTTCTTGTTTTCTTCTTGTTGAATTTTATGAGACAGAGGCTCATAATGTAACTCAGGCTGGCTTTGGACTTGAGATAAATTATTGCAATCAGCCAGGTGCTGGTGGCTCATGCCTGTAATCCCAGCTACTCAGGAGGATGAAGTCCGAGGATTGCAGCTGAAAGCCAGCTCAGGAAGGATAGTTGTAAGATACTTACCTTCAGTTAATTACTAAAATGCCGGAAGTGGAGCTGTGCTCAAGTGGTAGAGTAGTATAGCCTTGAGCAAAAAAAGCTCAGGAACAAGTTCAAGGCCCAGGACCAGCAAAAAAAGAAAAAAAAAGGAGAGAGAAAGAGAGGTGGGGGGGGAGAGAAAAAGAAACTGGAAAACAAACCCTCAGATAGGCAGGCTTATGGCTCAAGCCTGGAATCCTAGCTACTCAGGAAACTGAAATTAGGATCTCAGTTCAAAGCTAACCCATGCAAGAAAGTCCCCTGAGACTCTTTTATTTCCCATTAACCACCAAAGAAAGAGCCAGAAGATGGGTGCCGTTGGCTCACACCTGTAATCAGGAGGCTGAGATCTGAGGATCACAGTTCAAAGCCAGCCTGGGCAGTAAAGTCCATGAGACTCTTATCTCTCCAATTAACCATCAGTACAACGGGAAGTGGCCCTGTGGCTCTTCAGTTCACCTAGAGCTGGGACAGTACCCAGGCCTAGAGTTCAAGCTCCATGACAGACAAAAAAAATAAAGGGGGGGGGGGGAGGCGGAGGAGGAGCCACAAATGGAGCTATGGTTTAAGTGGTAGAACACTAACCTTGAGGAAAGAAAAACAAAACAAAACAGGACAGCACCTATGCCCTGAGATCAAGCCCCAGAACAAGCACCAAATAAAATAAAATCTTAAAAAAAAAAAAAGAATTCAACCTCAAATAAATTTGTCAGATAAAGGGGAATTCCTATGTAGATTTATGGGCCTATGGGAACTCTGATTACAGTGGAGAATTATTAGACTGATTTAAGTAGAAGAATGATAAGCTACGATTTATGTCCTCTGACCTAGGTAACCTTGAACAAATTAGCTTTGTTGTTGTTGTTGTTGTTTGTTTTATTTTGTTTTTTGTCTGTCATGGGGTCTGAACTCTGGGCCTGGCTGCTGTCCCTGAGCTCTTCAGCTCAATGCTAGCACTTTACCACTTGAGTCACAGCGCCACTTCCAGCTTTTTCTGCTTATGTGGGGCTGAGGAATCGAACCCAGGGCCTCATGCATGCAAGGCAAGCACTGAGCTACCTTCATAGCCCCACAAATTAGTCTTTCTATGCCTCATTATCTTCATCTGTAAAGCAGGTATAATAATAGTACCTAAGCCAGGCGCTGGTGGCTCACACCTGTAATCCTAATTACTCAGGAGGTTGAGATTTGAGGATCACAGTGCAAAGCCAGCCAGGGCAGGAAAGGCCGTGAGACTCTTACCTCCAATTAACCACTCAGAAAACCAGAAGTGGCTCAAGTGGTAGGGTGCTAACCTTGAGCTGAAGAGCTGAGGACAGCACCCAGACCCAGAGTTCAAGCCTCACGACTGACAAAAAAAAAAGTTTCTAATGGAGTGCCTACCTAGCAAGCAGGAGGCCCAATACTTCGTACATAGTGTAGAAGTAAGGTAACCTGGCATAAGACAAATGCAAAACTCCCAAGGATAGATGGTAACAAGAACCAGGCAAATCAGTGGAGGTGATGAAATGTAAGAAAAAATAAGGAGTCTGGTGCTGGTGGCTCATACCTATAATCT